TCAAAAAAATTCAGGTTAATGCAGTAATTGTAGGTGGGCATAAGCATAAAGCATTAACACCTCAAAATATTGAACGCCAAATGCTCGGAGAAAATTGCAAACGAAAAACCAGCGATTCAATTTCAACTCGACCAAGCAAAATTATAGGAAAAGAATTACTAACAAATTTAGGTACAGATATCGTACATAAGGATATTTCTTCTGTTCGAAAAGCCATGTATATGGCAAGACGGAAAAACTTTCCATTTATTCAAGATCTCTTAATGAAGCCATAAATAAAATTTGAGAAATGCAAGACGATGATATTTTTAAATTTAATAATAAAAAATGTATTCACATTCCGATAAGTAAATCATTTATTTGTATCACAACTGAAGACAATTTAAAATTTATGAGTTCTAGACTCTAGTACACAATATTTTTCAGACGGCATATTTAAATTCGCACCTAATTTTTTTGTGCAAATGTATACAGTATACTGTCTATTATTTTTAATGTATATTATCGTATTTATATAAATATATATATTATATTGTTTTTAATTGATTATACTAATGGTTTTTAAATTAAATTGAATTTAGTAGTAGGTAGGTACTTGTTGGCAACGTTGCACTTATTTTCGTACGCAATCGTGATGTTCTTAAGGACTAGATAGAGAAATCGTACACAATCGTATATCACCGGGCTATTATAATAATTAATTTTATTTTAATAACAATTTATTTATTTATTTATTTATTTATTTTTTTTTTTTTTTTATTTCTATCGGCAAAGGTATTTAAAATATCATCGTTATTAATATTTTTTTATTTATCTTTTTCAATATATAATATAGAAAGATCGCTGAACCTATTCTAAAACATCGATGTCCTTAGCCAGGTTTTATTTTTTTCATTGTCCTAAAAGTTCTTTCGTAAGTAGGGAGCCTAACTGGTTGAAATTGTCAATGCTATTGTAAATAGTTTTTGCAAATTAAGAAATAATGTTTTGTTTTCTGACAAAATTCTTATATATTGGTTTAATAACGTACAAATAGACAATAATCATTATTATAATATATTATGTTATATATGTTATATGTACAATGTACATAGGTACACACGTTTTGCGATAAAAAGATGAATAACAGCACGTAAAAATGTACAACTAACATTATTACACAAATGCCATAATATTATAGTACCTACAACCTACGATAATCAATGTTACCGGACGTTATTTTATCTAGAATCCCAAATATGTTTTTCATACCTATAATAATTATTTGCTTATAAACATTTATTAGCGGCATTTATTGGTAAAATATTATTTTACAATTTTCAAAAAAAAATATATAGATAATTATTGTATATAGTAATAATAAAATTTCGATTTTTGGGGGTCTATTGAAATATTTTGGGGACTAAGCCCCCCCCCCCCCCGATGTCCGCCTATGCCTATGGAGGTATATAGATATTAAATATTATAAGTATTAATAGTATGTATATCTATACGATATATTTATTCAGGTACTGCCGTCCGCCAAAGTACCTACTTGAACATTTTGATTTTTTCATCGTACCTATATCATTCATTATATCAATTATAAATAATTTACAATAGGCTTAAAATAAATCTTTTTCAAAAATGTACTTTTTAAGAATTTATGTAATTTAAAATCATTGCATTTTTTCATAATATAGAGCAAATAGTTAATGCCTACTATAGGTGTGTAAGTTTTTGATATTGATTTTTTTTTAATCTCATTTTATTTTTGATTCTTTACAAACCGATAAGTCAATTCCGCAAAGTCCGTGTACAGCTATATCTGAACATATGACATAACAACAGCTGTGAAAGTGAATTAACTTTATATAGCCACAGTATAAATTAAATTTACTTTTTTCTTTCATTTATTTTGTGATAGATATAGCTCAATAGTTGCAACTATATAATATCATATTCGTCTATACTCTTTACCCACGATGATATGACTATATACAATAAAAGGTACCTTTAGATACCGATTGTGTCCATATAAGTAAAATAAATTGTAGCAACTGGTAATAGTAATGTCATCGATATCCACATTGGGTCTATTTATAAGTGTTGTATGGATAAATAAGCTTAATAAAGCCTATTCACGATAATCCGTTGAGATTTACATGACTGTCCATATAGATTTTGAAGTGCTTATTATAGTGATTTAGTCATTTAGATACTGTTTATTTAACCTGTTCACTTTTGTTTCCAATAGTTGTGCAATGTGCGAGTGAGTATGTTCCCAATTCTCACGAACGTTAATCGCTCGATTAGTATTTTCATGTTTTATACCTTTGCCCCGACTTCAACAGTCACTAAGTGTTATAACTATAGCTATATGCCTACCTATAATATAAACTAAACAGGCGTACGATTATAATATGAAATGTAATTGATTCTGTGAAACAAATGGTATGATTTAATCTGAATTGACTTGAACTATCCTCAACATAGTAATAATACTTATACAATTAATTAACACTAGGAAAAAAATCTTTTGACAAATTGAGATTTGGAAAACATTAACGTTATACCAGTAAAATAAATCTGTATCAGAAATTCATAACTACGGTGCATCTGAATCTATATAATCACCAGAATAATTCATAGCATTAACTGCGGTTCAACACGCAAATAGCTAGTTTATGACCTAAATTTAGACACACCAACGTTTAAGGTCTAACCATACAAATCAGAATTGGCACTAGGCTGCAGATGGGTAAATTACGAACGTTCGTTAATCTTAACAGGTGACCAAAAGTTAATAAAATCACTTGTCGTCAAAAAATAAAAAAAGTACCTATACCCAGTAAAATATTTTTTTCGTCATGCGAACCTATTACCACCAGTGAGTAAAAAAAGTCACTCAACTTCAGCGCATCGCATACTGACTTGTATGTTTAAATGAAATGTAACGAAATTCAATCAATAATAGATTAGGGTAGGTAACGTTTTTAAAAAATATTATATTACTGTTAGGTATAATACATTTTATTTTTGCTCGTAGTGTTTAAATTTACATCATATAAATGATCGAATGACCTAGAATTACACATAAACCGGCATCCATATGCATCGCACACGTCAAATCATTTCCTAGTTTTTACCTCAATCGTAATGTACGAATTTACTTATTTGCTTTATTTTTTTGTTTTCTTGTCGCGTAGGCATATAGCATAATTATATTACGTAAATTCGCATACAAATTCGTGCTCGGAAGTAATTATTATTTTTTTCTTTTTTTTATAACGCCTTCGCGTAGAAGGTGCATCGAGTATTGAATATACAAAGTTACGATGTCTACCGTTGTCCATATATCTACAATTAAACTCGAGTTTATTTTGGTAAGCAATTTTCTGCGACAAAAATATAAAATTACTTACAACTAGTATCAGTCGATGTTCCTGTACTAGTGGGAGGTACCTACATATTTTTATACTAAAATCCTAACTCATGAGTCATAAACATTGAAGAAACTTAAGTCATTTTCTCTCCGACAAAGCATCGTACATTGGTCCTACAACGGCTACAACCTACACATATTATAGGTTTACCAAAAAAAAAAAAAAAAAAAATGATAGGTATTAATTAACGTAATATTATGGTTTATAACTAAGCAGTACCTAACTAGATATTGTGTAAAACAGTTAAAATTCCTCAACATTTCAGATATTTTAACGAACGTGTCATGATATTTTATTATATTGTTATAGCAATTTTCTTTTTTAGTCGAATACAACCTATTTCATTTATAATATTCAAAATTCGAATTTATATTAATATATGTCCTGCCAGACTCTGGTTATCGACGTAATAAAAAAAATGTTTATCTACTCTGAAACAACTCTTAACACACACGATGGTCGATTTTGAGACCCTACTAATCCATCGCAATTTTCGTTATTTATATTCTTTGTGAGCTACATTAGAATGTAAACCAAATAATTTCACGCCAACTATTTCTTGACGTATCGTTTTCACCAATAATAAATACATTGATGACGTGTGGTCACGAGTTCGTACGTTAACATTATATAATAATAGCAGGTACACTAGGTAAATTGTAGATGTATAATGGAAAGGATTGCGAGGACAAGGATAGGCGAATGTGATACAAGGCATGCACAACAATGGTGATATGTGTATATAAAATCAAACATAAAACAATAATAATAGTGTGCAGTGAAATAAAATTTAAATTAAAAACGCATTCGACTGTGTGTAGGTACGGGTGTCTGTATAATTATTATATGTATATAATATATAATCTCTCGGGGTTCGGAACATAAAAACCCCTAATCAGTTTTTCGAAATAACAAACAGTATTAGCATTAATTAACATTTATAATATTTACATAGACAAAAAATAAAAACTGGATGCAATTCTCTGATACCTATAAAAATTATTAATAATTTGATGAAAATGGGCTGAATACAAATCAACATGCTCATGATAAAATATTGTAAAACAACAAATAATAAATATAATTTAAGTCATAGATATCGTATTAATATCATGATCATAGCCACCGTTATACTGAACGCGTTAATCAACAAGTTCAGAGAACGTTTGGTCAAGATCGTCACAAATGTATTTGTATTTCTCTTTCTCGTGAACCAACTCGTCTGTAAAAGAAAACAAAACGAAAATGTTGAAAGCAATAATTTTTTTTTCCAAAATCGCTTTAATATATTTTTTCTTTTACATTCTTTTATTGGTAAAACATATAGCACTTGGGATGACAATAAATATATGTAAAAAAAATGTTTTAATAATAATAAATAATAATTCGTAAAATAAGTTATCAGTGATTACGATCTAAAGTGTTAATGAAATAAATCGTCTGTACAATATAAATAAGACGTAGGTAATATATATTATTTATATACCGAAATGATTATATATGAGAAATTGTTTTTTTTCATTTATATTTTTATCGTTGGTTATTTGACTAATAATGAAAACAATACAAGCTCTATATAAATCACAAAAATACATTTTTCTTTTTAAATAGACATATACAGTTAGACAAAAGTTAGGTTATGGTTTTTTTTTAATGTTATATAAATAAAAACTAAGCGTATATATAAATAATAATAACGTTTGGATAAAAATTAATTATATTTAACAGACGTGTTTTCCGAAGAACAAAAAAACATTTAGGGACGCGTGACGCCACAGCCGGTACAAAGTATCAATAGACATTATTACAATTTCACTCAGGCGGAGAAAAAAGTTATTATAGAAAATAATCGTTACAATTTTATTTTTAATCATTGACTTCGGGGTAGTCAAAGGTCACACCTACGGCGTTTCATACAATTTTTCTACAAGCGTAAAAACAAAGCCGAAATAATATTGTAAAATCAGTAAGCTATGAAATACAATACATTGCAAAACAAAAATTAAATAAATAAATAATAAAAATAAAAATAAAATTTAGGTATAGGTAATTCACTAAAATAAACTAAAAGTTACAAGTTTTGTGTCGAAAAATATAACGCGTGGACACGGTGTTAGTAGCACTGTATTATTAAAATTATATTTTATTGTTTCGTTTTGTGTTTTGTTTATAAAGGGAATGTAGTGTGTGGTAGCTGGAGTAGGGTCAGAGACAGAGACGATGGAAATAGATAAAATTGAGTAAAATCGTGTGTGTCGGGAAAAGAGGAAGTCTGAATGTGTGTATATGTGTGAGTGTGTGTTTTTTGTGTTTAGATGCCATACAAGTCGACAAACGCAAGGTCCAAGCTGTCGCCAATGTCTCTGAATCTCTCCTTTTCGGCGACCAACTCATCTGAAAAGCAAATCGATTACCACCGAGTCAGTAAAAATGTTAGGATGCAGCTCAGGTTTAAGAAAAGAATTTTTGGTCAGGACAGTGTCTCGGCGGAAGTGTATATATATATATATATATATACATACGTAGAGCCCACATCACATAAAAGTACATAGAAAATAAGAGGATGACAAAGCCGAACCGAATTGTCGATCGGTTTTCCGAATAGAGAATGTTAGCAAGTTTTTAGTATAATACGAGTAATATCTACTATACGAATAGAAAAATTAATAATATATAATATTATAATACTAGGTTAATAGTTTCTATAAAGGGAAGAATTACGTCATGAAAGAATACCAATAGTGTTAAAACAATAACCGGTCCGATAATCTTACATGTCTATTAGACAATCATTAGTCATAAAATGTTGTTTAGTACGGAAATTATAACGTAAAAATATTAGTACACATATCAACAAAAGTATTTAAGAAGTCATTATTAAAACTAAAATCAAATTTTACCCAAAACCAAATAAAATGTCTGAACATATACTTAAATATTGTGTTGGTAGATTATGCGAAGTCTACATTAAAATAATTACCAATTTTTATTAAGTATTAACTGTGATTAAACCTACTAACAATTTAAAAGTTTAAAAACGAATAAAAGAAATGAATTTTTTTGTAATATTTTAAACTATAGATTTATATAGATACATTTCTTGTAGGTAGGCGTAATGCACGATGTGTGAATGATTCATTTTATTCATCGTAATTTCCATTATGTGCAGTCCTACACTATATGTGGTACCTACCTACATCATACACTGTAATTGAAATCGTAAGCCAGTCAGTTAATGTCAAGGTGTATTGTTAGAGAATATGTTCGAAATTGAATACAGTTATATTGTTTTATAGTTGCATGATGTGCGGTATTATTCTACTCAAATTATAAGAAGTGCGGACATTATTAGTGCATTTATCGCCTTCGAAAATTCTCTAAAAGTCGCACACAAAGAAATGAAATGAACCTACATCTTACGTCACATCAACATGTTACTTATACCATAAAAATGATTTTAAAATCCCTAGTAAAAAACAAACACTCGAACGTCGTTTTCGTCAACACGATACGTAAATATAAGACTTTGAGTATAGATGTTAGTAGTAGATAATATAGTAGTTTATAACATTAGTAAGTAGTACAGTGATAGAAGAAGAAAATCATAAATTAAAATATTAAAGTAATAAATAAGTGAATTATTAAAATGTGTATAGTCAAACCTGTGCAATAACGAAGTTAGTATGGAGTGCGGAAATGTTAAACAAAACATAAATATAACGAGTGTAAAAGTATAAAAAAAATTGTTTAAAAAATTAAATAATAATATTAGATAATTTTTAATAAGGAGAGGAAATTTGCTAAGAAGGGACGGGGAAGGAAAACATAGGACAGTATGTTATTTTACATGTTTTGAATGTCGTGCAGGGTGGCCTCCATTTCCTCTTGCAGATGTTTGTTCTTTTCCTTTTCGCCAGTTAAGTCATCTGTGTTGCGTCAGGTCCACAGCAAAACACACACACGCGTCACACATGAAAACAAAACATTTAGCTAACATGCACAAACAAGTGAAAATTTAAAAAAAATAAAAATAAAACAAAACCAATATCTAAGTATAAATCATTAGACTACTGGAAATAATGTTTAATATCAAAAAATAATAATAAAACTACGTGCCAAAAAATAAGACGACTTAATAATATTAAAATACAGAATCAAGGATGATAAACTCGGAGGCGCCGAAATATAAATTTAAATCACCAAGATATTGGCAATTGTACTCTTAACACTAAAAAAAAATACCAAAATTTATTAAGGAAAATGTAAACCACTCAAGTAAATGTATATTATATGCACACGTTTGGGTAAAGTAGTATATACATATCACGTATAATATCGCTCTTAATAATATTTACACAATGTAAATTATACCGCTGAAGACAATGAAAAGTTATGTTCGGCGCTACCGAGGATGATGTATCTGCAAATTCGATACTCGTTTACTCTTTATTGAATTATTATTATAAACATTCGTACGTGAATAGTGCACATCATTATCGTATTATTACTAAAATATTATTACGTAATAAACACAAAAGTTTATCGATTAATTGATGTTATTTTTATTAGAACACTTGGCTTTCGGACAACACACGAGCGCAATATTAGAAAACAATCTCAAACACGAAAAAACACATTATATATATTTATATTTTTTGAATTTTAATAGGTGATTCTCGATTGTTTACCATGCGTCTCCCTGCCGTGACATTGAAACGTCAACAGTTTTTGATCATACTGCAGTCATGTATACAGTATACGTCATATTATATTGCATAAAAAATTGATGGGACCAAAGAACCTCATTAAATGTATGGAATCCCCACCAGTTTTATAAAACGAAATTCAGATGACCGTATATTATTATATCACGAGTAAGACGTCAAAATCCGTGAAAAAAAAATTATATTCCCATGTATCGGGAGTGTAAAATACACGCGTTGTTATATTAGGTATGTATTATTTGCTATGCAACAGACTTTGCTAATCTTTATATACGCATTATATAATAAATTATCGATCCCAAGACTGTAAACCGATATAATAGTATTTTTGAAAATATATAAGTAATATAAGAGGGAAACGTATAAACTCACCTTCGAGCCTGTCGACTTCCTTCTGCAATTTCTGCACCGATCTCTCGGCGAACTCAGCGCGAGCCTCAGCCTATAAGTAGAAAAAAATGGAGTGTCGATTAATGTCTGTTAAAAATTCACAGTTTTGTTGGATAAACACAAAAAGTATAAACTTGTAAAGAGATTTTATTTCATCACGATGATTTGACCGTTTTACACGTACGTGTGTACAAATTATATTAGAAAATATCAAATTATCGTGATAACACTCTGTAGTCCGTACACATAGGCATAAAACCATGCGATATAATTAAAAATTAAATAAAACGATCTTATGTGATATATGGTTAATAAAACACAGTGTTATGAACTGCAAATGAAAAATTCAGTTTTAAAATTATTATTAATATTATGCCCATTAACGGGCAGCGTGTGCGCGCGCATCATGCGAAAACTCTGTGAACGCATCGAAAGCATCGGAATGTAATTAACTATGATAATAACATGTGCCATATCTTATACATGAAATTAAAACAAAAAGTTCAAAATAATGATCAATTTTTTTTACCGTAACCGCATAATATACAAGAACAGTCGTGATAATAAACAGATATGATTTATGTACTAAACTCAGCGTCCAGCGAAGCCTCAATTTTAATTCCAAAATTGAGTAACGCAATACGCAATACAAGTAGTGAAGAAACATAGATAATTAATTATTTAATAATAACTAAACGAGAAAAATGTAGAATGAAAATTATACATTATTATTGTTATAATAATAAATTATGAAGAGTATTAAAATTGAGCTTATACCTCTTTGAGCTGTGCTCCGAGACCTTTCACTTGTTCCTCAAATGTTTCTTCCCTTTGTGTGGCCTATATTTATTTTTAAGTACATAAACGTGTGCCGTGTTTGTGAGTTAAGCGTGTACAAACCAATTTGCAAAAAAAAAAAAAAAACAAAAAACAATACAAGTTAGACACAAGTATAACACACGTTAAAATAAAGTTTTATATTACATTTAATTTTGTCAAAGTGATTTTCTATGTATAGTGGGACAATATGTAATGAGTTTTGTGGGAAAGGTGTCATTTAAAAATCAAACGTTTTATTAGTGTTTATATAAAAACGGTACGAGTGGTGTAAGTACGTTATAAGCTTTGGTGTTTTTTATTATTTTTTTTTATTTTCTTAGGCAGGCTAAAATGCAAACAAACGTAGCCTGTGAGTTGAATTTATTTTTCTATAAAGTACCTCCTTCAAACGGTTGGTCAAAGTCTTAATTTGGTTCTTATATTCTTCTTCACGTTGGTTTGCCTGTCCAAAACCGTTAGTTAGAAATTTGAAAAATTTTAACATAAATGATATTATTTTTTTAATACACTGTTAAATAAAGGTTTATGAATTTCTGAAATTTTCGTTAGGTGTATTTCAACACGTCTAACCTACATCTTTAAATTTATTAGAAATATTTAATCTCAAACTAACTTAATTATTTTTAATCTTTTAAGTTCAGTCTAGTTATTTTTATAAAATTAAAATTCTCAAGATAAATTGACTGAAAAATGTTTCACCATTCCGTACTGCCCGGCTAATATTATTTTTTAATACAATCTTAAATTTAACAAACAGATATTGCTTTATTTCTAGCATTGATTGTCAAATAATAAATATTGTTTTTTTTATCGTTTTATTGGTCATAAAATTGAATGTGCTTAATTAGACTGAATTGTATACATGTACCTTTTCTTCTGAAACCTCGAGGGATTTCAAATTATTACCAACAACACGTAATTCTTCTTCCAATTCCACGATTTTTCTACAAGATAAAAAATAACACAGAATTAATTTAACAGATTAGTATAATCATGGACATAAAGTACTATGTCTTTTTAAATAAATATAAACTCAAGATTTTCTTCAAGGGTTTCTATAATATGAACAAAGGTTCAAAGAAAATTGTTTTGTTTACTATAAATACCCTTAAATATTACATGAGTAAATATAACAATAGAAAAAAATTGGTAATTTTTGATTGCGATGAAAAGCCACTCGGACATAACACCACTACTTTCAAATAAAGCAAACATACAACAAAATATATACCCATAGGTGTACATGTTTGTTATTCAGCACTTACCAAAAAATAGTCATTTAACTATAGACTAAAATAGGAGTGGAAATATTTAAAAATCCATTTTATAAATTCATGTTTTTCACTTCTCGACTTTAAAACGATTAAATACTTACGCATCGCTGTGTTCAGCTCTTTCTTCTGCTCTCTCTAAATCTTGTTCCATCATGACTAATTTACGGCCGACCTAATAGCAATTGAAAATCAAAAAAAAAAAAAATATAACAAACTAATTTCATGCAATAAAAACTAAAAATAACAAAATATCTTGGATAAATTAGACATAATATGGAAATAGGATGTGTATAATATTATAAATTATAATAAATGATATGGATAGAAGAAAAACACACTAAACACAAAAACAAAAAAATCAAAAAAATCAAAAAAAATTAAACTCAAACAACCACCGAACGAAAATTATAAAGCTATAGGTTTTTAAAAAAAATACCTATCATTGTGAAAAAAGCCCAAAATAACTTAATGATTATTTTATGCGCGCAACAAATATGTAAGCGTAGTATAATAACACATAATGTAATAATAATACACTACATTACAGTAATTCTGCTAAAGCAACGAAAAATCGCAATCATGAAAATTATCCAAAGATTTCCTATAAAATATGTTCTTTATAAATTATGTAAATCTAATGATTTAATCGTCCTTATGATTCGCCTGATTCGGCACGTTCTTCGGCTCTTTCCAAGTCGGCTTCAACCATGGCCAGCTTACGCGCTACCTAATCGCAATAATTTCCCAAAGAAAAATAATTAAACAAAAACGGTTTTAACAGGTTTTTTTTTTTTTTTAAATACAAATATAAAGAAACACATAAATTATTATTTAATACACACGCGCACACACAAATTATTATAATACACTCGTGAACATGTATTTATGTATAGAGTGGTGTAGCGAGGATATGTGTAAGGTGAGCCAGACATAATAATATAATAATTACTCCGTGAAAATCACGGTATGCCGCCCATCGTGACAAAAAGTTGAGCTCAACCCAACTCTAGAAATTTCCGAGTAGACAACGGTTAACAAATGATAACATCTGATTACCACGGTCAATCAAAATTCAATAAAAGCCACACGACACGATAAATGACGTAGCTTTGAATATAAGCTAAACACTTCCACTATGACACTGGTAACAAGTACATAAAATTATTATTTTTTTTTTTTTACTAATCAATAGAAAACACGTCATACAAAATAACTGATTACCAAGGCGTTATAGGTGTGCACTTTGAGATAAATCAATCTTGCGAGGCCAGGACTGATGGTTAAAAAAATTAACGGATTATTTTTGTGGGATATGGTAGGGTGATGTTTCATGTAATCCCTTAGCTACACCACATTTACATAATATACAATATGTCAACATTTTTGTTGTTTGATTATTACATTGATTGGGAATAACTGCAATATAATATACTGTATAGTTAAGTTGTGTAAAGGAACAGAAAGACAGTGAAAATGTTAAATTTCAAAAAGTTAAACAGAAAACAAACCACAAACAGCAAAACGAGTTATTTCATATTATAATGTATTTTATAATAATATCTAATTGTTATGGAAACTGTACCTATAGCTTATAAAAAAATTATTATTGAATCCAAGTAAACCAACTCTTTAAATGATCGATGACAAATTTGTACAATATAAAATTTAACTTAAAATTACATTACATATATAAAAAATAAATAAAATACTGAACTACCTATATTATATATTAACGTAATTTATAAACAGGTGTATACGAAAATATTAATTTATTGCTTATTTAATAGAAAATATTACTTTAAAATCAACCTGCGGTATATAAAAATAATCGCAGATAAATTTCATTAAGTAATACTATAAATAAGAAATAAGTAGTAACACTTATTATTATACAACTACCGATTCAGTCAAGACACGATTGTTATTTTTACTCCATGTATAAACAAATACAAAATAGAAACTACCTATATTTGATATTTAAAACAGATTATATCATTAACCTATTAATAATAATTGAACATATTGTATTAGCATACTGAGTGATTTTTTTTAAAACGTGACACGTATAACATTCATCATTACAGTCTATTTTCATTAAGTTGATACCATTTTTTAGTTTTTTCTAGGCGATTCCTAAAATGCCAATTTTTAATTAAATGATTTACTATTCTGAAAAGATAAAAATATTTAGATATTTTTTTATTAATATTCAACGTAAAAAAATTAATATTGAAAGTATTTATCAAAAAATAGCATTTAAACGAATATTTAGATAGTAGAAACAAATAGTGACAAGGCATATCTCGAGAAATATTCTACAATACTCAGCTTATTGAATTAATGAAATGTTAACAAGTCATAGATAAAAAATATTCCACTTGAGACTATATAGCATTCGCTTGCTCTAAGAACAAAAGTATTCCGTATTACCCACTAATGCAACTCTCTAATTCAGTTTAGGTCAAAAGAATCTATTACATGTTTTATAGAAAAGGGCATTTTCTATATGCATTAGCCAGACAGTGTTATATTTTCTATTTTTAAATCTTTAAATAATGAATCGAACTATCATCAAACTGAAGTGTAAGAACATTATCTGTGTTAACACGTAGGTTTTTTACGATACTTTAATTTTCAAGTAAATTATGAATACGTAAAACATTACAATTTAAAAATTATCTATAACTCGCTCAAAAATTAAAGTATCGTAAAAAACTCACGAGAAAACGCAAATAATATTCTTGCCTTTAGTTTAAATCATAGGTCAATAATTCATTCTCTATTATAAATGGTTACTACAATGTTGGTAAAGTTGTTTTCTATTAGATAAACAATCAAAAAGAAGTTCATTTTTTCTTAAAAATAATCCTAAAATATAATACGCGTTTCTAATAAAACTATATTATAAAATGCGAAAGATTTTTGCGATTCAAAAACGAACCACAGTTCACAAAATTCGACTGAGACGTTCAGCTTTCAGTGTTGACTAAATCACTCTGTATGGTAATATGTTGCAATGACCACGTTGACAAAAATGTGGACTGTATCGGCGTCAGGAATTTTGGTTCGTCGACGAAACAATGATTCATTATTGTCATTACCTTCATTTTAAACATATTCTTTGTATTCTCCTTCTTATAATATTATCCATCGACTATCGAGTGTGTATCACACACGTCAAATACGTTCGAAATACTCAAATGGTCTACTTTTTATTTTTATTTTTTAACGACATTATGTCACGTCCTATTAATAATTAGACATAATATAGATACCTACGTCATAGTCGTCATACTATTATTATTATTTTCATCATTAGTAATCGTACAAGAAAAATACATTAACGGTTCGAGCAAATTGAGTTTTAAGACGACGTGATTATTGATTATTCATTAAAAAAAAAAAAACTATTACATAATATTATTCAGTCTGTGGTGAGTTCATCTACAGTTTAAGTTCAATGTAATATCATATAGGCATTGTACAAACTACAAATGTTATTACTTATTACGTATGAGGTACGTATATTAATAAAATATTATATTTGATTCGGGTTTGTTGTTCTTCGAACACATTATACTGAAAAGCGATTACCGAGTAATTATTTAAACTGGATTTTCGAAAACAATGATTAATCAGAACGAGTTATAAAAAGATTCATCTCAGGCGCATGTGTACATGTGTGCGTTAAGATTATATCTACGGAAAAATAAATCATTTTTTTTTTTTTTTTAATTTCATGTTTTATAAAAGCGCGTGATTTTAATTTTTCAGATCTATATACCTATATAGTAGTACCTACTACATCGTATTGTTATTGTGTATATGATATACGTACATAAAAACGTTAAGACCTTGGAATTTTAATTTCGTCGCTTTTATAAAATTTAAAAACGTCGAATAGCTAAGTCGTGAGAAAATCATATTAATTTTCCACATTTATGTATATTAAAATTATTATCATGTGTCTAGGCCATAGTAGATAATATGAACTAACGAAAACGTCGAATGGCGACTATGGAAAAAACTGCATTCATTTGTTGTTAATGCAAATAAAAGAGAAAAAAAGAAACCCAAATAATAAATAAAAATCCTTAATCCCTTCCCTATCACCACAATGGAATAATAATGATATATTTTGTCAAAACAAAAAACACGTTCACAGATAAAACATAATAACTTTAATTCGATTTTCAACAAAACGACAAATATTTTATTCCTATGATGATAAATTGGTAGACGTTGATTATACATAATAGGATCATAGAAGTTTGATGTTTAATAATCGATCCTAAACATTTTATTTTAAAAAGACTCGATAACTCGATCAATACTCGATTTACACCCCTGGTGAGTCCAACTTTATTCTTTTATTCGAAATCTGATACTATTATATATTGTTGATAAACAATTTTTCTGCAAGACTGAACGAAATAATATTATGATTCACGAATTCATGACTTTATTGCTGTAACTAGTATTTACGTTTAGCCACGATTACATTGATTAAAAAAATTTGTATACCACCCGATCGAAATGCATTGTTCTCCTACACGAATTCACTAGAAATAACGTCTAAACGTTTTATTATAAACAGTTTCCAAGTCTTCAGTGTTTATAAAACTCACACAGTATACACTGTTTCAAGTATTTTTTTAATGCACATAATAATAACAGAATGTGTATTTTAGAAAAATTAATATAATGGATGAAATTTACTCCTCTGACAACAAACCAGTTTTCCCTGATCAAATACACCCTTTTTTCCCCAGTTCCCGTCGCGTTGAATATATTATTATTATTTATTTCACGTACAAAATATATGTAACACATAAAACTGTCGCGGCGTCACTTTTTGAGTAAAAATCCAATTAGGAATCATTCTTTTTTTCTAACATAGAACAATTTGTAACATATAAATAGTAACTATACGTCACTGAAATAACGTTTAACATTTTAATTATTATTATTATGCTTTCCTTAGCGTGCACACAATCTCCTAGAAATACCACTGTATAGATCACTTTATTCGCATATTGTTTTATTAAATACCATCGGTATGAACTAATCGTCTATCGGTTAGTGTTTGTAATTTTATATTTATTATATTAATTTCTATGACATCTTAGGTAGACATATTTTGTTTTATATTAGACTACAAAAATCTGTCGCTTTTATAATTTATTTCAAACACCGTTTCATCGACCACTCTTTGAGAACTTCTCGTACAATATTAAAATCGTAAATTCATGCTAGTTGAACTTAATACTAGAGTCACTAGTCATTACAGAGTCAACGGTCACCTTTCTTCAATTGATGAAATCTGATACATGACTACTTCTTATACTTTTAGTCATTAAATTATAACAAGTATGATAATTATGATACTAAATATTCAAAATAATACAAAAATAAATTAAAACAGAAATACTGATTTATTCAGTTACACAAAAAAAAAAAATAAATAATATATCAAACAACTCAATTATTAGATAAATTATAAAATCTCCCATTAGTTTTTAGCAAACTTAAATTAATAACCAAGACATTAACATTGTGAAAAATAATAATAAGAAATATTATTTATTATCATTAAAAACAGTTTTGTATAAATTTGTTATAAACAAAAAAGTGTATACATATATATATATATATATAAATTATGCATAATTAAAATTTATTAAGTAGTACAGTTCATACAACATAGAATATCTTAACAATTTATTTTTTAAATCAACTTTCAAATAAATTTGATATAAATTTTAGTTTTTATGATAGAAATGTAAATACTTAACAAATATTATGTTATTTTTCATTATTTAACACAAAAATAAAATTCAAAAAAAGATACTTAAAAAATGTAATGAATTTTCTTACAATATTTTTAAAAACAAAAACATAACAGAATAAAACCTGACAAGAATTCTTTAAGCTTATAACAGCCTATGATTGACATAGGTATACAATTTAGAAGTAGATATATTTTAATATCTATATGTCAATATTACTTGGATTCAATACAAAATGATAATTAGGTAATGTAAACAATTTAATAATGGTAAAGTTTAAACTCACAAAACAATAAAAATAAAAATAATTGTTTGCACAAACTGCCAAAACTCATAAAAATATGCTGACAGCGAAAACGCCAATATTTTTACTCATAATTTTTATTATCTTTAAGCCATTAGTAATGAAATTTCCATTTTATAGACTTATTTGTTCCCACACATTTTTTGTATGAGTCATATTATGCCATATTTCAGTTGCATAACTGACATTTGTAAAATTATTGATTAGTAAAATTCAAGTGAGATAACGATTTAATAGTGTTAGTAACACACTATCGTTCACCTCATCATATTTCTTATCAGCTTCTTCAGCCAAGAAACGGGCTTCTTTTAACTGGTTCTCCAAGGCATCCATACGTTCTTCATCAGCCAAACTGCGGTTTTCCAACACCTTACGTGCACTATATAAATCCCAACCAATAAGTTACTCCCTACAAATCTAGTATTTAAATTGTACCTAATATGTATATTATGTACTTATGGGATTCATAACTCCTAACAAAAAGTCTACTTATTTTGTTTTCCCTAAACAAATCAATCAAATGAACAATGCCTACAGTATCATTATAGCCACATTGTGTTTTTGTGCTTATAAGGAATATAAGGACAAGGTGATAAAATAATTTTAAATAAAAACACAAAAAAAATATTCAGATACTGTTATTTTACCTCCTCATATTTTTTGTCAGCCTCCTCGGCAATAAGTTTGGCTTGAGCCAATTGAGTTTCGAGAATGGCTACTCTATCATCCTCCATATTTGTTCGGTTCTCCAATGCTTTTCGGATCCTTTTAATTTACAAACAACAACACATCAAACAGATGCACACATAGCGTTATTGTTTTAGCGGGTAAATAGTTCATAATACACAAAATTTAAACTAATATTTTCTACTTGAAAACTATTAAATTATTAATTATTAATTATATGTAATACCGGGTGAAATATATTATTTATGGTTTTTCTTAGATACAAGATTAACTAATTAATCAAGAATCTATAATGAAATTTTGATATATATATTGTTGTCTAAAATGAAAATATTACAACATTTGATACATAACAGTAGTAGACTATAAAAAAAACCACTAATATTATGATTTTGAATAGTAATTTGATAAAACTAAAATAAGTTTTAGTAAAAATCTCAAAAAATTTAGTTAATAGGTAACTTATAAAGATGTATTACAATTGCATAATTCACTGAACATTAAGTGGAGAAATATTAGAATGCAAAATATAAAATAATGTGTAAAATTTAATCAAATTTCTAAAAATGCAATATTTACAAAAAAAATATTAAAAATAAATGTATACATCCTCTCTAAATATTTAAATTAAATCAAACCATAAATTATTCATGGGTTATATTACATAAAAAAAAACATGCAGAGCTCACCTATTGAAATTAAAAAAAAAAGATTAAAAATTACTAAAAAACTACTTATGAAGTTTCAAAATGTCAGTGTTTTTAAAATTGCAATAAAATTCTTATAGGTAGTATAATATATAAATATATATATATATATACCATAAATATTAACTAAATAATATCTCAAAGTATAAAAAAATAGTAAATTTATTACATACTATAGATACAGAGTAATTATTTTAATTTAATTTTTGTCATCAAATAATTTACTAATTTTAAATTTATTGAAGAATATTTTCTTTGAAACAAATTTATTTTAATTTATACTTGATATCTTTTAGTTAAAAAAATATAGGTAATATTCTTTATTTTAAAATAGACTATCTGCACTAAGATACATTTTAATTTATGTAAATGAACCATGTGATTAAATAAATAGGCATGTCAACTAAATAAAATGTCCCCCAAACTTGAAGTAAAACTTAAAAAAACCAAATTGAAAAAAAATAAAATAATAAACTTTATCATTTCTGAATATTAACATTTAAAATTTCAAATATCCAACCCAAATTAATATTTTTTTAATGAAAACGTATGAAGTATACGTCATATTATACCTATTTAAAGATTATATTTAACAAAAAGAAAACATTTATACAAAGTCAGAAGATGTTTTAAACTAACTTATTAAGGAGATTCAATTAAGCAATTCTAAAGAATGTTGAAGAAAAATGCTAATTTAACAATTTAAATAAATACATTTAATAACATACATTTACAAAGAAATTTAAAAATGATCTTATATAATTATGATTATTGGTAGTTGTATTAAAATTATAGATAAAAATATTTTTGTACCAATGCCATTCAAAGAATAGTTATTATAAATTGAAACTATCTGTAATGAAATTGTTAAATTCTAATAAATTAGTTAAATAATTTTCCAGCATTTATTAATATCATAATATTATAAATATATTATCTTGATTTGCATCAAGTTTAATTAATCGTTTTTACATTTTATTTACATGCACACAACATTTATTTAAGGAAGGTTTTAATAACATTTTCAGGAATTAGTATTGTTATTTAATATCATTAGTAATTTATTACCAATACCAATAGTTAATAAATCTTGCAAATAAAATATTGTTCAGAAAAAAATTGGTATTGGATACGTATTGTTAATTTAAACTTACCTACATATAGACGACGTGAGAGTATTTAGAACAAGTTAATGTGAATATAATGGTTTTTATGATTGATACTATATTTAATGAGCCTATTAAAATATATCTAGCTTAACTTAAATAATTTTACTTTTTCATTTATTATCTGTTTAGGAAAAAAGGTTTAATTTAAATATCACATTGTATAATTGTTATTTATCTACAAGATAACATTGGAGTAATTGTTTCTTAATGTACAAAACCTATTTAATAGAATTAAAATATGCATAGGGACTAGTATAAATAATTTTTTGAGATCAAAATATTACCTAAATGAAATCTATTTAAGTCTTAGAATCCTGAAAATACTAAAACCTTTGACAAAAATTTAACACACTTACCGTTCAGATTCATCAGCAGCTTGAGATGCCTCGGCCAACTTAGCAGTGGCCGTGGCCAAGCGCTCTTCAGACCTTTCAAGGTCCTCTTCCAACAATTGGATACGCCTGTTAAGTGCAGCAACTTCACTTTCAGCCTAAAATTCAAAAATTAACAATAAATATTTAGTATAATGTTGTTAAGTATGGGAAATAATTCATAATGGTTTTTATTGAACATAACAAATAGTATGGCTATACTTTTGCAAAATTGTTTTACAAAAAAACAAATATTAAATAAATATCGTAATTTATATATTTTCAGGTGTAAAATACCAAATTAACAGGAAACCCAACCTAGGCCGTAACTTCCTGAGTTCACAGTAAACAAAACTGTCTGTATATGTAACATATATAAAGCCCATTGTTAGGAGATAAATTATTTCATCACGCCTCATCGTTCCATACATAACCTTGAATGATCAGCTTAATTTTACGTACTATCAAACTGTTCAATTATTAAACTCAAAAGTTTTTATCCAATGAAACTAAACTCTCTATATCATAATAGTAATCTGAATGTTAAGATTTTTTTAAGATGTGACATTAATAAACATTTTTAAATAAATTAGGTAGATAGGGGTAGGTCCTATAATAATTATTATTTTAATTATATTGTATTTGATCAATTATATTAAAAACTAGTGATATGAATTATGGAAGATTGCAAAATATATAGACTATGTTAATTCTAAGGTATAACGCTTTTAATTATAACTTTTTATCCAAGCAATAATTACAACAATCAATAAAATATTCAAATAATCCCTATATTTTCCCTCGACTAGTTATGAATAAATAAGTTTCAAACAACTATTTGCTAATAATATATTTGATTATTGGTTTCAATAGTTGACTTATAAGTATAATGATTGATGGCTAAGAAAAAAAATGTTCTTAGCTTTAAGCAATAATAAATGTATACTAGGTAGGTACCATAAGTAAATACATAAATATATTTATCCACAACATTTCTAAATAAAAAATATTAACTAATCTCTTTTTTATGTTATGATGATAAATAAACAGAAATACCTACTAAATGTGTATGCCTACAGATGTAATATTATTATTTGTTGAATATTTGTATTAAAAGTATTAGGAATACTTATCTTAGCTTAGAAATAATAACATTTTGAATTTTAAGTTTAGATCAAAAATATACATATTCAATAACTAAAATTAAATAACAACTCAATAATAGTAATAGTTGAATGATTTGTTTCCAAATATCATATTGTACCTAACTTAGCTGTTCTTCAAATGAATAAAATAACAAAACAACTAGAGCCAATTACCAAATTATCAATAAGAGTACACAACTATATAAGATTAAAGTTAATTTTTACGTTAAACTTTGCACTTCTACTAAGGTATTTAATAAATATAAAGAAAATATTATCAACTTTCGGATATTTTATACTGATAACATTTTTTATTTATATTATTTGTTGTTCCATTAACAATATATAAATTCGACAAATTTAGATAAATAGATATTGAAATGAAGTAAAAATGAAAATGCATTTGCAATACATACAGCCTCATAGACAACCACAATATTTCTTTAACAGAAATTCAAAAGTATAATACAAAATTTAGCAGAGGACGCATAAACACCAGTCACATTACAGAGGATATCCTTAGAATGTAGGTCTTACAGTATTGGTGGTAGAAATACGTAACCTCTCGTGTACCACCCACTGTAAACTCTACTCAACAGAAAAACGGTATACGACTCAAATGAATTGCAAGATGGTTCGATCGAAAAAACAGACGGGGGCCTCCCCTAGTATCAAGAAGCCCCGCGACCAAACGTGATGGGAAGGAAGGTGATTTTGTGTTAGGCCAGGCGCCAAAAATACGCGCCATCATAACAATAATTTTATTATGTCGGAAAAACTCAACGTACTTCCTCGCGTCTCATGACCTCCATCTGGAGTTTCTTATGGAAGTCCTCGCACTCCTCCTTATACCTCTCCATCTCCTCCTTGGTCTGACGCATTTTTTTCTTCAACACGTCCAACAGCGAACCTTGCTGTATTGTGGTCATGATGACTTCGCGGCGAGGAGACAAACTAGACGACCGGAAAACCGCGCACTAACGCCGCCGCCCTGGTGTGCCCGACTGGAAGGAACGGGAAGACGGTAGACAACAGCGTCGTCGGACACGTAAACGACTGCTAACAGTATCGGGCGGTTGGAAAAGCGACGAGGGCGTTTTCGCAGTCCGGCGAAATCTAAAAATCGGACGGGCAGCGGTGAGAACCGGCACGCGTTTTTGTCGCGTTAACGGACGGGAGGACACGCAACACACGCAAAACACACGAACACACAAGCAAACGCACACTGAGTCACTGACACTGGGCACAACCACTGAGGACGGTGACGAGTGACGACGACCGCTAATATTTTTACGTTGGTTACGTGCAACGTTCGGCTACGGGGACGCACTGCAGAAGCCACACACACACGCTCACACATACACACACGCACACTCGTTTTCGGTTAACCAGTAACCAGCCAAACCGTATACGATAATATTATTATAAAATATGTATAATATAATACGGTATTTACGATAATAATAATAATAATAATACCTACGACGACGGTTCGTCGGACGAATACAATACTCGCACACGGTGCACACACACACGTACGCGGGTCATGCGCGCGCCCCGCCCCGCCCGTTGACGAGTAGCGGCGTCGACGGGCGGACGGGGCGGTGGCCTTGCGGGCGACGTTGCCGGTTTTCGACGCGTCGTCCGATAGGGGCGGGCGGTGGTAATTTCGTTCGTATTTGGCGTCGACCGAGACGGACCGGCCGGCCGGCGCAAAAATATCTCAAACTGGTTCCGCCGCGGACGGGCGACCGTAACGCGTCCGCAAAAATCTCGTCCCGGGCGGTTTTTCCTCAAACGTGCCGTAGCACCGCGCCTCCCCAGCCCCGCTCAAAAACAATCCACCCACCCCTACCGCAGGCACAAAAGCCGCGCGGACCGGCATGGGACACTCTGTTACCGCCGTCCGTTATAAATGTCGTGAATTTATGATGACTCCGAACTCGTCACGTCGGGACGATCGACCAGACCGACAGTATTATAATGTCTTAAATCGTCGGTTGTTACTGTTGTTACTGTGGTTAGTGTTATGCGCAAGGGTCGTGTGCCACTGACACGCACGACGACAAGCGTTCGCCAAATAAGGGGCGGCGGTGTGTATAGACTTTCCGCTCGTAATCGTACGATCGTTCTCTCTCCTTTCGCAACATCGGAGTCATGACGTCCCGTGTACTCTGACCATGTTTTGCCTTTTACGTATACACACCTCTCGTTCGCCGACGACAACTTACGCGGCTTTCAGGCTCGGGTCAAACGAAAATTAACTGCATTTAAAAAATGTTTAATAGGGACACCGAGATAGATACATGACCATCACGTTTTCATCCACAATATGAGCCGCCATTGCAGTTCTCACGAAATGCAAACCATCGTGTTATTATATTCTGTGAATATTAAATAAATAATCATTAATCATTACGCTATGTGTGTATGTATATTCATGAATCGAGGGACTTGAAAGAATTCAAACTGTTTAGAACTGACGATTTTGCAGTTTGTGCGATCACGAAAAATTCTTACCTGGCGTGTTAAAAATTGAAATGAATGTAAAACAAAAATTCATCAGTTTTACCACACATTAATCATAAATCATAAAAAAATCTCGAAATTCTTCTACAATCTAAATAAGATTAAACAAGAACATAAATTAATCATTATATCTTTCACAATATATTTGAAGGCTTATTGTACTATACATATTATGCATCACTCGACACTCACATATTATATCACCATTATTCAGTCTTATTTATTGAGCAATATTTACGAACGTAATATATGATTAATGATTTTCGCTATTTTTAGATCGTATAAACAAATAAACGCAAACGTGCAAATTCCTAAATACGATCTATACCAACATTAATTAATTTATAGACACAGAGATAATTTCGAATCATGAATAATAAAATATATATTACGATTAAACTACGTATTAAAATCTATTACAATGGTCAATTCGTTTTAGCAAAGTACAATGTACATTGTACAGTATTACTTAATACTTTAGTGTAAAGACTATAGTTTTTACTACTGTAATTATTGTAATTTTTATAATAATAACAAGTTGGACCTGATATTATATTCACTCGGCATAAAAAAAGATAAGTTGATGAAAAACGCTACTTATTTTAGTTATATTACACTTCAGTACTGTACACAGCATAACAATTATTGATGATAAGATGTTTTTACAAGCTATACATACTATACGCATGGGCTATAAAAAAAAAATTGTTTTTTATAGAAACATATGCATTTTCGAGCTATATCTATAATACTCCTATATTTGACCGGTCACGCGGTTTTGTTTTCCATTTGCCACACCTACCTATATACATAATATACTAGGTACCTATTAGGCAGTGCCGTAACTCCCCTCGAAACGATTTCAACTCGACCGAGAAAGAGAACCATAAAACACGGGGAAAAAAGCCACACTAATCAATACACGTGTAACCGGTGAGAAGCGAAACAGTGAAATAATACTTAATGCGAACGTGCGACCAACTAACTACATCGTATTATAATACACGAAATACATTATTACGTGTGGACAGCCGCCGGTTTTTGTCGAGTGTTTAGATAATAATATAATAATATTGATGTGCAAAATACGTATAATAATACACCTAGGTCATGCGTTATGACTTAATACGGTCAGCGTACCGCAATGTGATAGGCTGTACGCAGTAAACGAGTCGTATACGTTGCGCACTTGAGCATAAAAAAAAAAAATAAAAAATTATCTCCGTCGTCGGGTTATCAATACCGCGGAATGTCAGTGTGGACGGCGGAGACCGCATGTTTTGTCGTAGACCGTACCGGGGCGTTTTACGACTTTGCCGTATCCGCCGTTCGACGTATCAGTGGCGCGTCTACGACGAAAAAGGGCAGTGAGTAAACGCTCTGAACAAACGTTTTCGTCGCAGCGTGACGATCGAGACGAACACGATCGTCGATTGTCGATTGTA